TTCAGTCCGTGAAGCGTCGGCGACTGAGGCAAGCCATCGCCGAAGTTCGGCGAAGATGCCTCCTAGGATTCTGATCTTCGGACTAAGCGGCAGAGTCCATATCAGGTCCCTGCACATGGGAAACCAAATTAGGCGCAGGTGCATGGCAAGCTATATAGGGAAGGCTTGGGAACCCGAAAATCTCACCCCGTCGTCCGACAACCGTTTACACTTGCACCACCAGATTAGGCTCATGGAGATTTGTGCAACCTGGCTGCGTGGAAAGGTTTGGGGCTACATTCTACGCCTTTCTTCGAAGCTGACATGTAAGATGCAGGCAGCGTAGACCCCGCAGCGGTTGATCCAAACAAACCCTTAAACCCCAAGACCTAAACACACGTGGTGGGTGACCTGGTGTCTGGCAAGGGACCCTGGCCTGGATTGCTGCAACGTGCGGCTCAGAGCTACCTTGGAAGAGAGCTTTTGAGAGAGGCTCCTTGGGCGCAAGAGATGAGCCCCGCACATGGGAATCGCATACGCGCAAGATGCTACGCAGATCCCTATATATGTAGACCAGAAACCTTTCAGGGTGCATTTAGCCCGCAAGTGTCAGAGAGGCTTCACAGCCTTCGGCTGGCTGCTGAAGCATTTGTCGACCCACAAGACCGACATGATGCTGCTGGAACATTCAACCCGCCCCATCTCCAAACCCGAAGCCCCACAAAACCCGTATTAGCCCTGTAAGCCCCAAAAGGCCGATAAACCTCACAAACCCCATCAACCCGATGGAGCCTATAAATCCTACAAAATCCCTCTGTAAACCCTATACAAGCCCTAAACTTGTTAAACCCTCTACAAGCCCTGAACCCTATATTACATAAAACCGATGTAAACTCTACACTATCTCTATAACCCTACATAAGCCCCTTTTTTCGACCCTATAAACCCCGAGCCCGAAACAAACCCAAGACCCACATCACTCTGCGAGCTCGGGAACCGCGCTTGGGTTTAGGGTTTAGGGTTTAGGGTTTAGGATTTAGGGTTTAGGGTTCCCCCCCCCAGTAATCCCCGAAGCTCGGAGCCCTCCCCACAGCCCCAAAACCCATGAAACCCTCAAAGGCGTGAGTTTAGTGGGCTTATAGGGTTTACACAAGTTATAGGTTTAGGTGGTTTAGGGTATAGGGTTTAGGGTTTTGGGATCCAGAGAGGGTTCACCTAGGCTAGGGGCTCTGAGGGAGGAATCCTGATTGCTCACCGTCTTCTACTCCCCACCAGGCCTTGCGGGGCGTCACCAGATCCCTGGCACAACGGACTCTAAACGGTTTAGGATTCGGGCTTAGGGTTTAGGGTTTAGGGTTGAGGGGTTAGGGTTTAGGGTGCCTGCCAAAAGTCAAAGACTGGGTTTTAACACTTATCCAACGATGCAGGGCCTCGTAACCTACTGCGATGACTCAATGAAGCCCACCCGGCAGACAACTAAAAATCGCCTTCAACCCAGACTCTCATCCCCTCAGCCGAGCGCCGGCAAGCAGTCAAAACCGAAACCCTAGTGTCCAAGCTTCCTCCAACAGCCAAGCAATTTTGGAAAAGGTCACGCGGCGTTATTCCTACAGAGATCCCCAAGCAGCTAAAATTCAGCCACTGGTTACGGAAGTCAAGCCTGTAGAAGCACTCTTGGAACAAGCAGCCACAAACCCAACACACCGGGCGCAACAAAGGAAGAATACGCTGCCCACCTGTTTCGCAGAAATTAGAAATCTACCCTCAACCTCAATCAAGGACCAAGGAAGATCGAAAAAACACCGAAGCCACTCATCAGGGTCCGAGGGGGTAAGCCCTAAAACATCAAACCCTAAACCAAGTAAATTCTACCCGCCGTCAGGGCCCGTATGATAAGTTACCCTAAACCCTGAACCCTAAACCCTGAACCCCTAAACCCTGAACCCTGAACCCTAAACCCTAATTACCCTCAGCCTGGGCTTCACCAGCACCGCTGCCCAGCTCCTCCACTGTTCTGGTCGCATGTTTCGAGTTCAAGGTCCGGGGTTGAGGGCTCCGAAGCCCCTTTGAGGACTTGCATGTTGTCATAGCTTCTTTGCTGACGAGTAGCTCAAGGGTTGAAGCCTGAAGCTAGGGGTTTGGAGTTCAGGGCTCAAGTTGCTGTTGCCCTCCTGGTTGGCGCAGCTGGGTCCGGTGCTTTCTCTGTCTCTGCATCGCATGAGTGTGGCGCCCTAATCCTTAAACAAAAGCTAGGAGGTTCATGGGTACTTCTAACCCCAAGTAACAGTCTACTTATCGCCTACTTAGGGGACTTAGGGGGCTTCTACGTGATGGCGGTTTAGGGTTTAGCGTTTCGGGATACCACAGCTAAAAGAATTTGTTGCCAAGTGCGGCCTTGGGCAAGCCCCCAGCTGCAAAACTCTAAATACCCCTTGGCCATGAGCGCCTTCAACGCGTGCAGAATTTCCACAAACATGTTCCCGGTTTCCACCCACCTCAATTTTTTCTGTGACGCAAAAGCTAGATGAAAGCATGCATAGACACCCCTCCCCCACCCCCCCCCGCCCGCCCCACTCACACCCATTTCTTCATTGAACCTCCCCCCCTTAAGCCCTAAGCCCTCAACCCTAAAGCCTAAATTCCGGAAATCACGGGAATCAGCGTCACTGGGGTCCCAGCTAGGGGATTCGGGGCTCAGGTCCAAGGATGGCTTTCGGGCAGCGGCCCTAAGTAGTTAAACCCTAAACCCTAAACCCTAAATCCGAAACCCTAAGCCCTAAACCCTTAGACCACAAGCCCTAAACCCTAACCTAAACCCTAAACCCTAACTTTGTATGGGTTTGGTGGTTTGACTGGGTGTTCTTCGGATTAAACCCGAGGCTCCGCTGCGCGGCGCATCAGACGCGGCCCCTGGCAGCTGCGGGTGTTGGGGGTTTAGGGTTTAGGGTTTAGGGTTGAGGGTTTAGGGTTTGGGGTTTAGGGTTTCGGGTCTAGGTGGGGTTCGTGCTAGGTTTGTGGACCTCCCCCAAGGGCCTCAATACTCCTTAAGTAAGGAATGTTCCTTCAGCCAAAGAAAGAGCCTTATTGCATTTTAAAGAATTCCCTAAGAAAGGGGTATTGGCCTTGGGTAGGCACTCCAGGTCTTGAGGTGTTTGGGGTTGGGGGTTTGGGTTGTGGAGTTTGGAGCCAGCAGGCAAGACCATGATGGCCAGAAGCCCGTTGCACTGCAAGACCTGGCTCTTGCGCGCCTGCGTTTGGGATTTGAAAAACGCCGCCGCTTTCTGTTGCTTCTCCGCCTGGCGGGCACAGAGTTTTGTGAAGAACGGCCCTGGGTTCGAATGGAGAGTTTACACCGCAGTGCAGTCTGCATTGCAATACTCGGTTCAACTCATCAGAGCAGCATTTCGAAGGAAGACCGCAGCAGCAAACACACGTGAATACGATTCTGTGCGCACCTTCAACTGCCTCGTGCGCTTGCTGTTTCCCATCGCTTGGGAATGCCCGAGGAGCGTGGATCGCTCAGCAGTGCGGGTGCTTTCGCTCTGTAGTAAAGTTGAGCCAGATGCACAGTCAGAAAGCGGACATGTCTCCTCCGCCAGAAAACCCAATTCGAGCATGTTGATCGTCACAGCACAGATGCAGCTATTGGAGCTGAACCTGCCAGTCCTTGGCATGTGCAGCACAGATCCTCTTTTCCTTGGTGGTCGCTCGTCTGGCTAGATCATTAGTGCACCTAGGCCAGCCTACAAAAGGGCTGCAGTAACATGGAGAACATCTCCAAGACCTGAAAGTCGTGCATGCGCTACTGATGAAGCAACATGTCCTGCATTGCCTCGCCGGAAGCCCCAACCCGAGCTTGGTGGTACGAAACTGTGGATCCATTACCAGCCTGGAGAGGCGGGGCGCAGAGTCATGGCGCAGATTCGCTCTACGCCTGCTTTCGCTCTCAGAGCTCCTCGGGGCCTCGCGCGGGTTCAGGGTACGAGGTTCGGGTCATGAAGTACGAAAGTTACCCTTCATCTAGAATATCAGACTAGAAATTCCGCCTAAACCCCACAAGCCCTTTCTCGGGCTTGAAGTGACTATAGACATTGGCGTCTGAGGTGTGGGGCTTTGGAGTCTTGCTATTCGCCGCGTCACCGGTCTTCTCTACCTCAGGTTGATGGGTTTTTCGTGATTGGTCCTCAATGGTTGTGTTCATAAGTTTTCGGCGTCGGGCGCTTCTGTGGGCGATGCGGCTTGGTGTGTAGCCTTTCGGTCCCCGCAGGGTTGGCCTCACGCATCCATCAGTGCCTTGCCCCTATGTACCGTGTATCTCGCAGTCTCCTGTGAGTTCTGCTCGGCCAAAGACTGTCCGCAGCATTCATGAAGCGATGCAAATCCTTTTGAAAGTTCAACCTAGCAAATACTCACCCATTCCGGTGCAATTGCCAGTCGGCAGCGAAGACACGCCGAGGACGGCGCGGGCTGGAGGCTGCATTCGTGATGCCGACCTGGCCTGGGCGGGACAAAAGCAAGGTTAGCTGCTGTAGGGTTTAGGGTTTAGGGTTTAGGGTTTAGGGTTTAGGGTTTGGGGTTTAGGGTTTCGGGCCGCATTTTTGCTGGTGCTTGTATTCCCTAGACATAGACAGGGGTCGCCTTGCATGAATCCTGCATCCACACCTCGGGTTGCTAAACTTTGCCGTGTTTCAGGAAACATCGGTGTTGCATGTGCTGCACTCCTCGTGGAGCTACTTGCCTTGCTACTTGCCTCAGCCTACTTCTATAGTTCATGGTTGGGATAAGATTAAAAATATCAAAAACCTATATTTCTTATTGGGTTTAAGTACCCTTAAAAATGTAAAATGATACCCAACTATGACAAAGACTTGTACTTCTTCCACCACCAGCACCTCACTAAGGACCGGGACTGCAAAGCTACAGGCAGTCCTCGCTCGGGCAGGTAGGCCCCGTGTCTTTTTCTTCGCCTCCCGTCTGCGTGAAGCTTTGCTGTACTGGGTGCTGTGCGCTTCCTCACTTCTTTAAGACTTCTTTCGGCAGCCGCAAGTCTGGATCATGATACCTTCGCAGGTGCACCTCCCGCCCGGTCCGCCTCCTCCCGAACAGCCGTAGATGCAGTCTTGCTTGGAGTCGCAGGTGATCAAGCTCCCCTTCTCACGATGCAGACGACAGAAATTTCCCACGTCTTCTTCTTTCTCCTGCCCCAGGTAGACTTTGAGGTCATGGACGTGTTGCTTGCATTCGTCGTGGACTGTCTGCAGTAGAGCTCCATCACGGCTGAAATGCGCCAAGCCGTCGTCAAGCTCTGCGAAGGAGGCGTTGGCCTTAAGACCCTGGTACTGGAAGCGGAGGTCTTTGATGGTGTGGAGGAGGCCTTGGGTGCTCTCAATGAGCTGCGCATGGTCCAACTCCAACTCATTCATTGGCATTGCGTCTTGCCGGTAAGCGCATGCTGACGTGAACAGCACAAAGGCGAGGATCGCCATGGCGAAATGATGAAAGCAAGAATTGGACAGCTAGATCGAAGTGCTTTGTGCACTCTTGAACTGGAAGTCTCGCGAGATTTCTCGTCAATTGTGGCGCGAACAAGCGGACTGACCTGTCGCATTCGGCAGGTAACAAACGTCAGACGGTCCGTTAACGAAAGAAAGGTTAAGGCGGTGATTATCCGTGTTTTAGCCTCATCATCGGGTTTGTCATCTGCCGGGGGCGGACTTCTCCAGCGGGTGCGTAGCGAAACAAGAGCTTCTCAAAAGATAACCCACAATAGTGTACCCTTTAAAACCACGGCCATTATGGAGCCATCAGGCTTAGAAGAAGGCTTGGCGTGCTCATCCTAAACCCTAAACCCTAAACCCTAAACCTCAGATTCCGGGGTGGCCAGGTGCTTCTTTTTTGGGGGGAACAGCGGTGGAGAACGCTTCTCTGGTGCTCCTTACCTTCAAAAACCCCCTGGTTCTTAGTAGGGTATGAGGGAATGAGGCAATGAGGCCCTCCATATATATGTATATATATATATATACATACATACACACCCTTTAAGGGATTCTGTAGGGCCCTCATTCCCTCATTCCCTACTAAGAACCAGCCAGAAAAAAAGCCCACACAGCTGTTTACTTTGGCATTGGAGTTTTGGGACTCAGGGCAGGACTTCCAGGTCCCGAAGCCGGGCGCAGACTGTCCTTTAGGGTTTAGGGTTTAGGGTTGAAGGCAAACGGTTTTCAGATCCAGGTCGAAGGCCATCGCGGCGCAGGGTTTGGGGCGGACGGACTGGTGAAGTCGGTTCAGGGTTCAGGGTTTCGGGTTTGGGGTCTCTATCGTTTAGGAGAGCTGTGGTTCGAGGCTGGAGGTTTCTCAAGGTTTCGGGAGTTGCTGGTAGCGGTCTCGGGTGATACTGCAAGCGGGGCAACCAAAAATCCTAAACTCGAAGTGAGTGCCATCGGCGGTTTGAGGTTTCCTTTGCACTCGGTGGCAGACACATGGTCTTCTTGGGAGGTGGGGGGAGGGATGAGAGTTTAGGGTTTAGGGTTTAGGGCTTCGGGTTTAGGGTTAGGGGGGCTAGGGTCTTGGAATAAAGCAGGAGTCTCCTACCACCCCTTCCCACCTCCACATCTTGTATTTCCGAATTCTCCACTCCACCCCTTCTCGAGTTAAACAAACTCGCGAGTCACACCCAAGAGTTGAATCATAGGTCCAAGTACTCACAAAGCGGGTCAAGGGACCAAATGGAAAACAATCAGTACCAACGGCTAAGAACACAAGACAACAAAAGGCAAGTAAACCCTAAACCCTAAACCCTAAACCCTAAACCCTAAACCCTAAACCGTAAACCCTAAGCCCTAAGCCCCAAACCCTAGACCCTAAACCCTAAACCCTAAACCCGAACACCTAAACCAAGAACAATGCCGGTCATGAAGGCTCCTTGCGGCATGCCCGGGCGCAGAAGGGGCACCTGGTGCTTTCGAGTCCACTTACGAAGCCTCTAGGCCCGAACTCTAAACCCTAAACCCTAAACCCGAAACCCTAAACCCTAAACCCTAAACCAAGAACATCCCGAGGTATCAAGCACGCCACCCCCCGAACCCATCGGATCCTAGACCATAACCCCCGAGTGCGAGACACATTCTGCCCGGAGATATGTTCAATATTCCTCGGGTGGTTCATGTAACTGTAATAATCTGACACAGGGGAGCAGCATGTCGGAAGTGGACCGCAGGAGTCCGCAGGAGCTAAACCACTCAAGCGAGCGCGCATCAGCACGGGTACCTTCAGCAGCTTCACGCGCTTGCCCATGGCAAGCTGCTCAGGCTCAGTCGCAGATGCATAATATAGGGGTCGGAATACTTACAAATAATATTCTCTTATGGCCCCTATACAGATGTACGATAAACACCCCCCAAAACCCCTATTTTCATTCCTAAGGCCCCCCATACTACGCTCACTTGGCAGAAGTTGAGCCAAGCGCGCCCAGAAGTCGGACATGCACAAAACACGCACTTGTTGACGGCTTCAGCACTCGTGCGCGTCATGGAGTCTACCCATACCCCTGGGAGGATCCAAAAAGTAGATCAACCAAAAGGGTGCCTAAGAATGACCCAATGGTATGATAGGGCACTACTTGGGGGCTCTACTTTTTGGATCCTCCCAGGGGTCTGGGTATGCAGCACTGCTTTGCTGCAGTTGCAGAGGCCTCCTTTTTCGTTGGCATGGTCACCGCCCAGACAGAAAGTGAGTCTGTCGTCTGGCCTAACGCTAGTGAGAATCAATCGAGTCATCTTCATTGCTCTGTTTGCACCAGGCTGGATCTTTGAAATGGGGGCTGAAACTGTAGCAGCACGGAGAGCATCCTCAACATCTTTGAACCTCACTTGCCAAAATGTCCTGCAATGGCTGGAGGCCCCAACCCAGTCCTGGTGGCACGAGTCTGTGCCATTGCTCTGCGCCAGCCCGCTTTAGGCTGGCAGTGGAACGAGGAACACTTGCATCTTTGGATTGGTGCTGTCAGCGTACCGGGGATTTTCATTGTGGATTTTCTTAAGTTAGGAGGGTCTCCGCTAGATTCGGTATCCGAAGCAAGTGTTCTCATCTCTTAAACATGCCCTACCTGTACTGAATTAGAAGATTGAAACGCGTCAAGTTGCTATGCACCCGTGTCAATGCACTTCCAACTTTTGACTCGAAGCTCTGTCATTTGCGGGGACGCGATCCCCTAGTGCACGGCATTGTTGCCGGCCTGGTCCAAGGGGGTGCCGTCCACCAAATAGCCCACATCTGCAGCATAGGCTGAAGCTGGCAAGGGGCTCCCGGACACGTGAGGATCGGGCCCAATGTTTTCCGGGTGGTTGATGGCGTTCCCCGCCTTGTTCAATGGGGTGCCATCCGGCAAGTACCCAACGTCATTCACAAACAAACCACGAGGCAGGGGCGAGCCTGGAGCATGGGGATCCGGTCCGATGGTCTCGGGATGATTGATGCAGTTGCCCGCGCGGTTCATGGGCGTTCCATCTGGCAAGTAGCCAACATCATTGCCGAAAGCCAAGTCTGCATAGGCGTCCTTCTGCATGGCATATGCGAAGCCGGCGGAATGGTGCACCTCGCCACCGCTCTTGGGGGCAGTCTGAGTGCCACTCTGAACAGATGATCCCACAAAGGCGGCTGCCACCGGCACCGGTGCAGCAGAAACTTGGGCGACCGTCGGAACAGATGTGGCGATTGACGCACCCCCATATGGAATTGATGAGTGGTGGAGGCAAATGCGAACTCTTCCATCCTCGCACTTCTTGTAGCCGAAGGTATATTCGACCTTGCTGATGCTCCCATCCGCGGCACTGGTGAAGAAGTAGTTGCCCATGGCAAGGGCGACGTCCCCGTGCAAGTCGATCTGGTGGTTGTCGAAGAGCACATCCGACCAACCTTGGCCCCCGTTGATTGCAAAGCCGTGATCCTCGGGGATTCCCTCGCCCGGATTCATAGCGTCCGCCCCTACAAAGTACGACATGGCCTGGCTCGCATCTGGGCGGAACTGGAAGTCTGCAGCTTTGGTCGGTTTGAAGAGGACATTTCCATGGCCGTAACCATAGAGCTCGCCGGCTGCCTGAGCGGCCACTGCCACATAGTCGCCGCCATCCAAGTAGCTTTTGGAAATGTTCCTGATGGCCTCTGCCCACGATGCTTGGGCACTTGTCACTTCTTCACGTGAGACTGCGGCAGGAGTTCCACCGTATGGCACTGACGAGTGGTGGAGAAAGATGCGCACCTTGCCATCCTGGCACTTCTTGTAGCCGAACGTATACTCGACCTTGGTGAGGCTCCCATCCGAGGCGCTGGCGAAGTAATAGTTGCCCATGGCGAGGGCAACATTCCCATTCAGCTCGATTTGGTGGTTGTCGAAAAGCACGTCTGACCAACCCTTGCCGCCGTTGATTGCAAAGCCATGATCCTCAGCAATTCCTTCACCTGGCCCCATGGCATCGGCACCCAAGAAGTAGGACAACGCCTGCTTCGCCTCTGGGCGGAACTGGGTGTCCTTGGCTTTGGTTGGCTTGAAGAGCACATTTCCATGGCCATAGCCATAGAGGTCACCGGCTGCCTGGGCAGCCACTCCGACATAGTCGCCGCCCTGGAGATACGTCTTGGAGATGTCCTTGATGGCTTGCACCCATTCTCTCTGGGCACTCTTCACCTCGTCCATTGAGACCGGCTCAATACCTCCACCACCAGCTCGGACGGCAACTTTGGAGACTTTGGAGGCTTTGGAGACTCTGGAGCGCTTGGCTCGAGCCAAAAGCCCCGCTGTTGTTGTGGCCACAACAGCACCATATGCAGAGCTTGCGAAGTTCGACGCCACTTTGCGCGACTTTGGCGCTGTGCCCGCAGCCGCGACGGCCGTAAGTGGAGCCATTGGCTTCACCGGAGCCACAGCCACGAAGCCAACATCCGGGGAGGTCAGCGCTCCAGGGGCGCTCGGGATGGCGATGTTCGACATCTTCTGTTCTGAGCGTCCGAGTTGCGGGAAACAACGACCCCAGAGTTTTGCGAAAAAACACGCTTGAGCCGCGGGCGTTCAGCAACTGCCTTGGAAGCAGCGGTGGCTTCTTTCTTGACACATGTGTGCTGCTGCTTACTTGCATGACACTTGCATGACGGCCATAGACTGACAGGAAATTGCAAAGAGCTCCGGGCGTAACGAGAACAACGCAAAACTCCTAAACACCCAGCCCAAACACCCAAAAGACCTGAAACCCTAGACCCGTTTGCCCTAGACCCTACACCCAAAACCTATCCGCCGAGACCCTAAACCCCTGAAACCCCTAAACCCCCGCAATAGATGCCCCTAAACCACCAAACAGGCCCTGAACCCCTAAACCCCTACTCCCCTAAACCCTAATCCTAAACCCTAAACCCTAAACCCTAAACCCTAAACCCTAAACCCTAAACCCTAAACCCTAAACCCTAAACCCTAAACCCTAAACCCTAAACCCCCACACCCCTAAACCCCAAACCCTAGCCCGCGAGCCGGTTGTTTTGGCGCCACTGCTTCTTCGAAGCCGGGGGAGATCACGTCGAGCGCAGGGCTCCGGCTCTGGAGAGCAAGCTTCCTTATTCTTATTTACTATTATTACTCATTCTTAATAATTTTCTGTATTGCTATCATTATTTCTGCTCTTAGTATGATGATGATGATGATGACATCTACTAGTATTACTATTAGTCTGCTTCTAGAATTTTATGATCATTCTTAGTATTCTTACTATGAATATGCCGAATGTGTTTGTTCTTATTGCTATTCCTGCAAGTCTTGTTCCGAACATTCATGTGACTACTTACTATTTCTAATATTGTAGCGATTATCCTTGTTCTGGTTTGTTGTGATTCTGGTTGTCATTACTACGTGTTCTTTTTTGCGATTCTGACTACTGTTCTTTCTCTGTGCTGTGCGTACGTATTATTGTCTTACTGTCTTACTGTTGCTGTGAATGCTGCTTGGTGCTACTGCTATTCGTTTGTTGCTTGCTCTTGTAAGGCTTCAGACGTTATCGCGGTTGATGGGGCTTCGAAGGTCTTCGAGGCGGTCGGGGGCTTTGTTTTCTCTAAGGGTTTGGGATAGGTTCTCAGTGACCTAGGGGGAACAAGAAGCTCCTGTTCCCTGAAAGGGTTAACATGGGACCGCCGCGCAAAATATAGGCGGAGCTTTTAGGGATAGGCTCTACGTGGAGTGTCCCTAAATTAGGGTCCCATTTTGGGCTCCTACCATAATACGGAGCCTTCCCTAAACATGCCCTCAACCCTCCCCCCCACCCCCCCCACCCACCTAATTTAGCTCCCACATCCCCAACTTGGTCATCTGCATTCTCTATACTCCCCTTAGAACCTTAATAAAAACAAAATCTTTAATATCCTCTTGGGCTTTATTTGAACAACAATCAAAAAAACTCGCAGAGGGGAATATAGTTCTGACTTCTGTTGGCACGCCTTGCTCCCCAGACCCATAGGCGTGGAGCTGGACAAAGGGAGCTGGCCAATCTCGCTCCCAAACCACAGCAACAAAACTGCAATCACTAAACCCTGAACCCTGAACACAAAAGGGACAGGGTGTACGGATTAAGGCTGATTGAGGCTTAGGGTTTAGGGAGAGAATTTAGAGTTGATAACGCTTAAAGTTCCGTAGGAAAGGGGTTTTAAGCCCAACCTCGAATGCTTGAATGGAGCTATCGGTGAGACGCGGCTGCACTTTGTGGATGGGGCAGTATAGGATTGAGTTGAGGGCTTTAGAGGGTTTAGATGTTCCCCCTTATACCAACAGTGCTTAATAGGGATTATAGTAGGGGTACTCTAATCCCAATTATGGACTGTGAGTATAAGGGGGAGCATCCCAAGTTTAGAGTCTAGGGTGAAGGATTTGGAGGGAAATAAGGAGTGTGAGGCTTTGTAAACCCTAGACCCTACACTGCCTTGGGTAAGGGCTGTGGCTTAGGGACTAGGGGCGTAGGGCTTAGCGCCTAATCATAGAAAACCGTCCAGTGCCTGCAATGCACGAAGTCGAATGCCAGGCAAGACAGGCCAGCTGTAAAATTGTTTTGCTCTAGCAGAAATCTAATGGTGGCTGCGCAGGAAAGCTTACTATGTCAACCTGCCCAGACTCATGTATTCAGCTGCATTTCTGTTAAAGCTTGCCCAGCCACCGGGAACCCAAGCGAACTCATTCTCTAAGCAGCCTGCGCGTCGAGCATTTTCGCATGCATGCGTAGATGCACATCGCGGCGTGATGCTGTGTAATATAGGGGTCGGAATACTTACTAGTCTTATTCCCTTATGCTCCCTTTGTAATTATACTAAAATAACCCCCCAAAACCTTGTTCTAATTTTTAAGGCCCTATATTAACCCGGCTCCCGTTGAACGTATTCAGGCCGACGTCAGTTCGAGCTTCAAGCTATGCACCGCCAGCTGACCATGCGAATCACCAGTGCAGCACCCATTTCTCCCATTTCTCCTCTGCACAAGAAGCGATACACCTGCAACGTCACGCACCTTGGCTTTGCCAAGCGCTGCGCAGCATTTGGATCCTAAGCAAACTAAGACGGGCCAACATCCTGGCCTTGAAACCTGAGACAGCCTGGAGGGTTTAGGGTTGAGGGTCTAGGGTTTAGGAAATGAGCCTTTCGGGCAATGCACGGCCATGGCCCGTCGCACGCCGCATGCCGGAGCTCACTGCAGAGCCCTCAGTGCTTCAACGCCTGGCAGGCCTGGCGAGAGGAACGTCTGGGCGAGTGTAGGAAGACAAGCCGTCCTAGGCTGCCTAAGCCATTCGCCCAAGATTCGAGCAAGACTAACTACTATACAGGCCATATGCCTGTGAGCGCAGGGTCCCGGGGCCCCGCCCCGCCCCGCCCCCCTCCGTGCGTATGTCGCGCCCCGGTGTCTGATACGTGTGTCACACGCCTGTGACGCAAAGAGAGCGGCCTTGTTACAAACCTTAGCCCTAAACCCTAAAGTGGAAAATTGGCACCCGCGGCCAGCTATGTACCCTGAACATCTGACTCGGCAGGCACATATTGCAAGTACGATCATTCCCCCTTTTCATGTGACTCTTTGGCCGAGTGCTGAGCCTAAGCTCTGAGCAGAAAGGTAAGTAAAGCTCCTTACACCAGCCCCTTTAATACCCCTATACCCCGGCTTGAACCAGAGCTCCAAACCCTAGACCCTGAACCCTAAACCCTAAACCCTAACCCTCAACGGCCGTCGGCGCCTTTGGCCGTTGCGGTTCTCCTGCGGCCCATGCCTGCGTTCAACGGATGAGGAGTCAGTGTGCAGAGGGTGTTTCCGGCTTAGGGCTGGCAGGGTTTAGGGTTTGGCCTGTAGGGAGGGAAGCTGGCAGTGTTTAGGGTTTAGGGTTTAGGGCCTGGGTTTAGGGGTGAAGAAATGGAGCTAGCTCGGTCTTGAAAGTAGCTTGGCATGCTTGCTATCAAAGGATTTCTCCGGGACACCCTGGACCTGTACATCCTCCTTCCGCTGTAATCATGCTTTGAAGACTTCGCTTAGGCCTCGAACCTAAAACCCTAAACCCTAAACCCTAAAACCTCAAACCCTACCCGCGCTTCACTCCTAAAGCCCCAAACCCTTTCCTCAATCCCTAAAAACCCTACTTGTATGAACCCTAAAAACCCTAAAGCCCTAAACCCCTCAGGGCTTCCAACCTAAATCCTAAGAAACCCTAAACCCTAAACCCTAAACCCTCAACCCTAAACCCTAAACCTACACCCTCCCTCCCCCTCCCCCCCCCCTCTTTGGACCCAGCCACTCTGGCGAGCGAGGACCAGGCCGGTACCGCTGCAGGCCTCGCAGTCCGCACACTCGGCGCACCTGCAGTGCAGGTGCTGTTTGCGTGGGTTTAGGGTTTAGGGTTTAGGGTTTAGGGTTTAGGGTTTAGAAATTAAGGGCTTAGCTCACTCAGGGCTCCTTATCCCCTACCCAGCCCCCGAACAAAATGGGGGCTACTTCAATTAACCGATAGCCGGCTGGCGCTGGATTTCCCTTTGTGGGGTTGTACCCTGTTTTGGGAACCGGCGGAAGGAGTACCATAGGGGTACCCCTACTATGTTTCGACATGCCCATGTAGCTGCACTACGGCACTGGGCATGGCGCAGGCAGTTTGGGTCAAGGGCTCAGCCCTATCACGGAGGCTCGCGCATAAGGTCTTGGGAGGGCTTGCAGGGCCGCGCCTCCCATGCTCCTCGAGATCAACGAGGATGCCGTCCTTGCTTCGGGCTTGGGAGAGTCGTCCTTATTCTAAGCCCAGAAAGGGCAAAGCAGCCCTAACCCGAAATCCTAGCGCCAATCCTGAAGAACAAATGTCTGGTGCTATTCTAAACTCTTGCCACGGTCTGTTGCGCCACAGCTGCAGACGGAGATCAGAATGCAAAGGAGCCAGAGGCTGAATAGGTCTAGCGAGAGGTCAAAACAGAGCCTCGCAAGTGCCTAAGGCTTAGGTCTAATTCGGGTTAAGGGTCGCATAACCTAAAGCCTTTCGTTACAAAGGACTGGACGATCGATGGCAAAATCGGGACTCCCATGCTCCGGGAACCTGCAGAGATGTATTTCGATGAGCTGAACCCCGAAACCCCAAACCCTAAACTACAGTCGAGGCCTGCCAGCCACCCGTTTTCCCAGCAGGCCACCTTCCCCGAAACCCCGAAAACCCCTCAGAGCCGTAGCCGGTTTTTTGTATTTTTAGTGTAGCCAAGCCACTGCTTCCTGTGGATGGGCGTAGCCCCAGCCGTCACCTCAGAATCCGGATGGAAGGGGCCCCCCATAGGTGATGGGAGATTCGGCGAAGAAGGGGGGGAGAGGTGGCCGGTGGGGGGGTACCGAGGTTTGAGGTTTTCGGAACCGGGGTCCTAAACCCCAAACCTACAAACCCGAAACCCTAAATCCTAAACCCCAAACTCTATAAACCCTAAACCCTAAGCAGACCTTCAAACAGAGCTTCAGCTTGACAGGCCCTCGATCCCCAATATTCCGCACGACCATGCTCTTTCTGATTTAAGGTTCCCTGTCAAAAAGCAAGAAACCCATTGTTGGCTTCAACGGAGGTTTGTTAATTCTTAGTCGAGCCCAATCCATAAAACAGGGGATTCAAGATGTAAGGCGTAAGGTTTAGAGTTCAGGGGATTCAAGATGTAAGGTATAGAGTTGCTGAAGGAAACCGCACCACCCAGCATCTTGGTCGAAATCAGCCCAGATGCAGTGTGGGCATTTCTCACCTGTGCTGGGGGCAAGCAGCTGCTTCGGCTGCTGGGCTTAGTCTGTTCTTGGAACCTGGGTAGAGACTCGGGTTTAGGGTTTAGGGTTTAGGGACAAGATCCTCAAGAACCTCACCCAAAGCCCAAGGCAGGGGAAGCCCAGCTTGACTGCTTGACTCTACGGGCGCGTTCTTCGCCCCAGGGAAAGATGGTGTTCGAGCTCGAGTGGCGACGTGTATGGATCCACGCAAGCGTATGTAGCAGCTATATCTTTGGGCTGATTTCTAGGACTGGGCTCAAGGCCCTCTAGACACAAAGCCGAACAAGGGGAGCATAAGTATGTATAATTTATATATCTTAAATAATACAGATAAATCAATAAATAAGTAAATACAACTATAAATACATTTTATCTATACATATATATACATATATATGCTCACCCCCCCCCCCCCCTCGACAGACCCCGGAAGCAAAAAAAGGGCTGAGGGCGCGACGGACAGCATAGCTGCACACAGTAGCCAGACACGTTAACACACAATAGAGTTTTTTTTTTGATTAGTACGGTTTTGTGTTCGCAATGAAAGATGCAGACAGATGTGAGAAGGACGCATGCTGTAAGGACCTGAACAATTTGCTCGACATCGTGGATTGCTATTAATTTTAATAAGATTGCTCTTAGTTTTACTTGGGTTCCCATTAAGTTTATTAGGATTCATAGGCTTCGTATGAGTTCAATAGGAATCCTATTTAAACCAATAGGAACCCCATGAGAACCCTATTGAAATTAAGACGAGTCTTCTTTGAAAACTTAGTAAGAATCCTAGTACAATCAATAAGAACCTGGTTGAAATACATACAAGCTCCTATTAAAATTTCTTGGCGTCCTAAATTCAGAGGAATGCCATTCAAATGAATAGGAACCCTTTTGAATTCATAGGAATGCTATTAAAATTAATAGGAACCCTACAAAAGAATCTATGAATTCTTTTTAAGAGTAACAGGAATCCGTTTAACATGAAGATGAATCCTATTAAAGGATCAAGAGGAGCCAACAAAATTCTATAATAAAAGTAATGTGGACCCTTCAAAGCTTAAAACAATAAGAGTCGTACTGTTAGAATTATAATGAACCCTATTAAAACATTTATTTAATAGGATTGCTAATAGCACAAATAAGAGCTACAATAACATTACTTCGAGTCCAATTGAAATGAATAGGGAACAGGATTTAAAAACATAATCGGAGCACTGTGGAATCTAGTAGGAATCCTATGAACATTATTAGGAATCCTGTCAACATGAATCAGAAACCCTGTTAAAATGAATAGGAAGCTTGTCAAAGCAAAAGGAACCCAATTAGAATTTGTAAGACATCTTATGAAAATGAATCAGAAGCCTATTGAAATTAATAGGAATATGTATAGAATTTGTTATGAAGCTTTTTAAAAATTCTAAGACTTATATTAAACCTAACTAGGAAGAAGAATGCTATTACAATTACTCAGAATAGTATTCCAATTATTTGGCATTTGATGAAAATGAATAGGGATCAATATTAAACCCAATAAAGTCCTTTAATAGGCATCCTTTAAAGCCTAGTACGAACCCCATTAAACAAATACAGGAATCCCATTGAAGATCACTTAGAATGCTAGTAAAATGGTTAGGAGTCTTATTAATTAAATAAGGACTCCCCTTAAAGTGAACAGGAGTATTATTAAATTTAATAGGCAGCCTAAAACATAATAAGGAATCATATAAGAACCCCTGACAAGCTCTTCTCAAAAATCCAGTTTCTAAAAATCCAAAAATCCAAACATCCAAACATCCACCCCAAAGGTTTGGATGTTTGGAAACTCGAGCGGGAGCCTCAAAATCCAGAAATCGAGCAAATTCCTCGAGTTTCCAAAATTCCAAAAATCCAAAAAAACCCACCCCAAGGTTTGGAGTTTTGGAAACTCGAGGAATTTGCTCGATTTTTGGATTTTGAGGCTCCCGCTCGAGTTTCCAAACATCCGAAACTTGGGTTGGAGTTTTTGGAACTTTTTTTTGGAAACTCGAGGAATTTCCTCAAAATCCAAAAATCGAGCAAATTCCTCGAGTTGCCAAAATTCCAAAAATCCAAAAAAACCCACCCCAAGGTTTGGAATTTTGGAAACTCGAGGAATTTGCTCGTTTTTTTTTATTTTGAGGCTCCCGCTCGAGTTTCCAAAAATCCGAAATTTGGGTTGGAGTTTTTGGAATTTTGGAGTTTTGGAAACTCGAGGAATTTCCTCAAAATCCAAAAATCGAGCAAATTCCTCGAGTTTCCAAAACTCCAAAAACCCAAAAAAATCCACCCCAAGGTTGGGAATTTTGGAAACTCGAGGAATTTGCACGATTTTTGGATTTTGAGGCTCCCGCTCGAGTTTCCAAAAATCCAAACCTTGGGGTGGGTTTTTTTGGATTTTTGGAATTTTGGAAACTCGAGGAATTTGCTCGATTTTTGGATTTTGAGGCTCCCGCTCGAGTTTCCAAAAATCCAAACCTTGGGGTGGGTTTTTTTGGATTTTTGGAATTTTGGAAACTCGAGGAATTTGCTCGATTTTTGGATTTTGAGGCTCCCGCTCGAGTTTCCAAAAATCCAAACCTTGGGGTGGGTTTTTTTGGATTTTTGGAATTTTGGAAACTCGAGGAATTTGCTCGATTTTGGATTTTGAGGCTCCCGCTCGAGTTTCCAAAAATCCAAACCTTGGGGTGGATTTTTTTGGATTTTTGGAATTTTGGAAACTCGAGGAATTTTGGAGTGGTGCTTTTCCCTTTTTTCTTCCTGAACAGACCGGAAATATGCTTCCGGGGTCTGTCGAGGGGGGGGGGGGTGACCATATATATATATATGTATATATATATATATAAATATTTGTATATTTCTTTACTGAACAAAAAGGGTGGAGGCAGCTGAGGCCCACCTGCGCGGGAAGGGCTCGGCTGCGATGCTTCAAGCCTGTCGGGTGCTTTGCGAGCTTGAAGGAGTCAAGCTTGCGAAGCGCCTCTTAGTTTAGGGTTTAGGGTTTAGGGTTAACTTTTAGTTTTGTAGAGATTATAGTATCCCAAAAAAGAGTAAAGTGTACTCACTCAGCTACTAAGCCCTAAACCTTGAGTCCTGAATCCAAAACCGTTTCGGCTGTCTGAGGCGTTCGAGGTTGAGGCTTTAGGGTGCAAGATTCGGAGTTTAGGGAGGCTGAACGCGTACAAGCGTGAGTGCGCAAGCGGGCGTGTGCAAGTGTGCACGAGTGCATGAGTGGATGAGTGCATGTCATGCACTCATGCACATCGAGTGAGTGAGCTGAGGGTGATGAAGTGAATAGAGTGAGAGGAGCGAGTAGGTGAGTGGGTGCGGACGTGAGCAAGTGAACGAAGTACATCAACGTGCGAAGAAGTAGTCACTGCACTACCAGGTAAAAAAGAATGCGGGCGGTTACAGAACGATGCGTACGACAACAATCAACGAATAACAACACGCTGACACTCAGAAGCGACTTCCGAACCCTAAACCCTAAACCCCAAGGTTCATACCCACAAAAGGGGGGCTTGGGGTCTCTCTAAACTCTCAACCCCCTAAACCCTAAAACCTAAACCCCAAATCCTAAACCGCAGGGTCCAGGTCCACCTCTTCATCTGCGTCGTCGGGGCCTGACGCAGCTGCTGCGCCTGCCGCCATGGAACAATCTTATCTAAACAATGCCCCCCCATGACCCAAGCCCTAAACCCGTGGGCACGGTAGGCGTGAGCCAACCCACCACCCCTGCCCCCAGGAAGCCGGTCAGGGGAGGGGGAACAGGGTTTAGAGCCTTGGGTTGAGCGGGGAAACTCTGCATCTTCGATGGGGTATCGACCGTCTTTGGCCTATTTAGGGCTTTTCAGGCTTTGTCGTACAGTTTGGAGTCCTTGGTTGTGGGGTTTCAGGGGTAAACGGGAGTCCCTGGGATATAGGGCCTAGGAGACCAGGGCGTAGCCTGCAGGGTGTTACCATGCGAGAGTTTGGTTGGTGGCACGCGTTTACCCCAAGGCACTCTTAGACCTTAGGTTTTAGGGTCTGGGGGAGCGTGAGGACCTGAAGCCAAAGACCTCAAGTCTGGATGATTTTCCCTGACATGTCTTGAAGAATCCCTCAGCCCAGTGGGCTGCTGAGGGAGCTCGAAAATCCAGCCGCCGGAACAAGAAAGCCATCCTTCTCTTGTTTTGTCCTCTGGCTGTTTCTGTGCTACTCTTAAGGATTAACGACGTTTCGCTTAAGCTCCGGGACGTATTTCAACATCTACCCCGCGCAGGTTCCGCGCGCCTCCGGGTCCGGGCGGAGGAGACCGCAGAGGCGCCCGCAAACAGTCGCCCCCATGGCTTTCGTGTCGGGTTGAAGAGGGTACCCTTAGGGTTTTAGGCACCCGAAGTGGTAACCTGCGTAGGGTTTAGGGTCTGGGGGTCTAGGTGAGGTCTAGAGTCTGGAGTTTAGGTACGGATATCGGTGCTTTAGGTACTGCAATGAAGGTTGGATACAGGTAGGTCTAGGCGTAACATAAGCTGTCCTAGATGTTAGGGCTCTTGCCAAAAGCCTTGAGCTTGAGGACGGCGGCAGGGTTCGGGCAACATCCCAGAACCAACCTGGGCAATTCCCTCCCCTTACCTGTCGGGCAAACTCTAGAAGCTGCAAACCCTAAACACGAAACCCTGAACCTTCAACCCTGAACCCTAAACTGATAAGCCCCTAGACCCTAGAGCCTAAACTTTCAGCCTATCCCTAGACCCAAGCACAAGGAACCAAAGGGGGCGCGACTCAGCAAGCTGCGGTGAAGAGTTGCCCAGCTAACCATTTCGGTCGCCTGCAACGCCCAAAGTGAGAAGGGAGGGTTTGGGATTAGGGTTTAGGGTTTAGGGTTTAGGGTTGAGGGTGAGGTTCTAGGGCTTTGAGACTCAGCAGTCTCCCTGAAACAAAGAGGCAATGTTGCCTGCCCCTCTGAGCATGCAGGCGCCAAACCCTAAATCCTAAACCCTAAACCCTAACCCCAAACCCTGAACCGCATTCGCGACTTTCACGACTCTCAAAGTCCAGGGTCCGGGCAGATCTTCGCAACCAGGCAGGAAGCATCTTTCGCCTGCATCAGAGACTCTGCTCCCCCAAGCTGCGGTTCAGGGTTTAGGGTTTAGGGTTTAGGGTTTAGGGTGAGCAAAAATCCTCAACCTTTAATCCTTGAGTTCCCCGTCGGGACGGGGGAGGTTGGGGGTTGAGTTGCCCTGAACCCGAAACCCTGAGCCGCCATCGCGGCCCATCGTGCCCTGCCTCCTTCATGCAGCCATTTTGCCAAGATGCAGTTGGCATACCGCGGGGTTCGGAAGAGCTCCTCTCCAAGGCGGCGCGACCCTGAACCCTGAGCTGGTTTGGGAGCTGACATTCCCAATGCCGGCTAAGGAGCCAAGTTCCCCTAACAGGGTTTCGGTAGTACATACAGTGGCTTCCATTGCGTGGTCGCAAGGTTCCTTCGCAAGAGACCAGGAAACCCTGAACCATCATAGGCCCTCTTGAGAGCTCCAGTATAAGTACTTGCTAGGGGAATAATTGCTACTCGTCTTCCCTATGGTCTCTATTGAATTCTATTATCATAACCCCCCCCCAAACCCTGTTCTAGTTGTTAAGGGGCCCAAAAAACTCATTGTTAAGGCCACAATATTGCATATTCTCAAACCTCAGTCGGTCCTGGTACTCCTCTGCTGCCTCGCAGGGATAGATACGGTCAAAGGAGCCGCGGCCTGAATCTTAGGAAGGATGGCGTATGGTTTAGGGTTTATGGTTTTGGGTTTATTGTTCAGGGTTTAGGGTTTAGTACATGTTCGGGCTTAAGGGCTTTGGGGCTTGAGGGTCGGGATTTGGGGTTCTAGGACTTTGGGCCTTGAGGGTTTGAGTGCTTGAGGGTGTATAAGGTCAGGGTTTAGGTTTCCCGACGGTCCCTGCAATCAAGGCGACCGGCGAACTCGGCGCTGCTTGAGCTCCCCTCCTGTTGTGGATGCTTTCAGGTTTGGGGGTTTGAAAACCCTCCCCCAAGCCCTGATCAACCCCCAAAGCCCGAAACCCTAGACTTAGATCGAAACAGTAGAAACTTGGAGATGTCTCTGCTTCCGCGCAAACAGGCCAGCATAGGGCCCATGCGCAGGTACTCATCATGCGCGTCCATGATCGTGGACCACTCCGCCTTCTGCTCGCCAGCCATGGAGTGAGGGCTTAGGGTACAGGGTTTAGGCTCAGACCCTCATAACCTAGGAGAGCCAAGGGACCTATACACGGCTTTCAGGCATGGTGTTCCGCGGAGAGGACCAAAAAAGGCCCCCGGTCACCCTAAACCCTAAACCCTAAACCCTAAACCCTCAACCCTGAACCCTAAACCCTAAACCCTAAACCCCAAACCTTCAGATTCTCTGCCTCTCCGAGGTCACGCAAGCGAATGGCATCCGACCTCTCTTCGAAATTTGGGGGGGGCCTTCGAAGCTTCGGGGGGCCTCTTTAGGGTTTAGGGTTTAGGGTTTAGGGTTTAGGGCTGAGGGCGGTCCAGATGGGCTTCCGAGCTTCAGGGTTTTGGGGACACTGTGTGTGTGTGTGGGGATTTGATGACAAGCATGGTATCAGAGAACGCCCCAAAAGCCCGAAAGCACGGGGCCCCCCGAAAACCCTGAACCCACGTTTCAAGGCCTGAAGGGAGGTCAGGAGCCCTAGGGCTCAGGATTTGGAGCCTTTCCCCAACCCTCGAACCCCCCAAACATTTTGGGTTTCGGGTTTAAGGGACCCACGAACCCAGATTGGCTGGCCCGCAAACCCCCCGCCTGTCGGAGTAGAGGGAACCTAGACCTCTCATGCTAGCTCCTCTTGGGGGGCTATCTGTTCTTCTGGTTACAGTCGTATTATACAAGACGAAAACAGGCCGGACCCAAAAGGAACCACAATTCGAGTAGCTCGTACATGCTGCTGTAACCAGGCGGGGAGGATATACCCAACTGAGAGCCCTGACAAAAGGCATCACGGTAATTGTCCCCGCTGCTTTTTATAAACAAAAAAACATACAGCAGAAACCCAAGAAGACCACAGGGTTGAGGTTTTAGGGTTTAGGGTTGTGAGGGTCGACTTTTCGAAGCCCTAAACCCTAAACCCTAAGCCCTAAACCCTGGTCAGCACTGAGGGCTCGTGCGCCAGGCCATCTGCTGTGTGGGAGCGAAGGAAGCGGGCCTCAGCCGGTTGGGTCTGCCCTAAACCCTATCAACTCTATAAACCCCATAAACTACAAACTCTATAAAGCCTATCAGCTCTACAAACTGTCTAAACCCTATAAACCTGATAAACCCCATCAGGCCTTCTAAAACCCAATAAGCCCCAATAAGTGACCCCATAAGCGGGGCTCAGGGGGATCCTTCGGCTGCTTCCGGCACCCCTGCTTTCTCATTCAAGGAAACCAAAGGACCTGGATGAATGGGCGGGTTTAGTTAGAGGTCTGGGTACTCCTTGAAGTGGAAGAGATCCATGTCCTATCTAATGCCATGCGGTTCTCTAGGTGGTGGACGCTGGCGGCAGAAGTTTCCTCAGGCGAGTGCCCGTTGCTCGCCCGTGCCCGGGCGTGACGTGGAGCGGCATCCCACACACTCCTCTTCAAAGCTCTGTGCACCCTACTATAGGGGCCTGGATAATTAGGAGGGCTTTCGGGGGTATTCCAGTGTCCCACCAACCATTGCTCAACTTTTGGCCTACCCAGAATTAAGAGATCCCCACACCTGGAAACGTTGAAGACCCACACGCTCTCCTCCCGGCCAGGTGAGAGACCTCGAGAGCAGGAGCTTACTCCAACTTAGGTTGAGGAGGGTTTAGGGTTTAGGGTTTAGGTTTTAGGGTTTAGGGCTTAGGGTTCAGGGATTCCGAACTGACTCATACGTGGATCAATGCAGCATAACTTTGCCTTGCGGAGATCTGCACGGTTCAGCAGCTGATGCGCTTTCAACGGTATCTGGGTGCACGGCCCACAAGCGTCAGCATGTCTGCGACAAGCTGTGTTTTCAGCCGCTTGTCCTGAACAAGATCCGGGCGGCGGGTACTTTGCAATAGCACTGCAGCACCCCTTGGACATGCAAGCTCGTCTTGCAGCAGGCGTGAGGGCAGCGGAATACCCTGAAGCCGAAATACTAGAGGATTAGAATAGGGTTTTGGGGAGCTTATTAATTATAGCATACTTATAAAGGGACCATAGTAACCTCCGAGTAACCCAGTTTGCGCACTGGCGACGCTTGTATGGCCCGTGCCAGCGGCGATGACGAAGAAAGCGAAGGGCATGTGTTGACCTCGAGCCTGGGTCGCTTGAGTTTGTGGGTTTGTCGATTTGGTATTGAGGGTTGCGGGTTGGGGGTTTAGGGCAAAGGAATACCTTCTGACTATTCTCTCAATATAGAAGATAAAAACATACATGTGCGTGTATATGCATATATATATATATATATACATATATATATATATATATACATATACGCATCTATATAAATGTAAATATAAATATAAATATCAATAACAATTTAAGAAACATACATACATACATACATACATATATATACATATGAATATAAATATATAAATATAAAAGAACGATACATAGACATATACATATATATATATAGATACACACACATGTGTGTGTGTGTGTGTGTGTGTGTGTCTCTGTCCCTGTCCCTGTCTCTGTCTCTGCGTCTTCCCGCAGCTTCGAATGTCCCTGATGGCGGAGGCGCTGCGCAGCAAAACTCGTGTTGAAACCATTCGCGCTCAAGCCCACAGCCTAAACCCTAAACCCTAAACCCTAAACCCTAAACCTAAAGACCTCTGTAGGGCTCCCACAGCCACGGGCGGAGAGTCTCGTCAACCAGGATATCGAAGCCAAAGAGCTCGAAACACGTCTGGTTGGGACCCACCTCGCAGCTACAGAAACGACTCTGGGTTTAGGGTTTAGGGTTTAGGGTTTGGGGTACACCCCAAACCCTTGAAGTGTTAGGTCTTGGGCTCGAAGGCTACAGGTAGTTTCGGTGTTGCGGACTGATACACCCTAGACCCTAAACCCCTACAATCCTGAAACCCTAATAACCCTGAAGAGCCTAAACCCTGAACCTCTGAAACCCTATGACTAGACCCCGGAGTAACCTAGGAATAAAAAGGGTACTCTGTTTTGGTTTATACAAGGGGATGATAAGGGAACCCATCCCTAAAACAGGAAATAAGGGCCTACTCCGGGTCCTAGATGAGGATGCAAGTCGAACCGAGGCCCACGGCAGGACGCCAGGCTCGGTTGGCGCCGCGGTAGTTGGCGCCGTTGTGCCAGGCGCTGACCTCGGCCCCACCAGGGTTTAGGGCTTAGGGCTTAGGGTTTAGGGCGTAGGGCTTCGGGGTTGTGGGTTTCATCTTATGGCTGATATGGCGCGTATGCACCAACATGTAGGGTTTAGGGCTTAGGGGTTATGGGTTTTCGTACGGCTTTTCTTACATGGGCTTATGGGGTTTATGGGGTTTTGTCGGGCTTCAAGAGGCTTGGAAGGGCTGCCTGTGTAGTGCTCACTTCGCTTCCAGGGTTTACGTCCAGAAAGGCTTCTGCAGGACCTATTGGACTTATAGGGAGCATTGAAGAAAGGCATATGAAGTGGGGCACATATTTCTTGTACCCCCAAAAGGACACCAGGTATATACACTCACCAATATTAACAAACAACCCTGTTTCATATACGGTTTCTGGTGGGTCATAGGGGCATCGGGCGCGTTGAGCACCCAGCGTCCTTACACCCTGAGGCCACTGAGCCGCGAGGCTTATACTCTCAAAACGTACAAGCCAAAAACCCGGCACGTGTTCTTGGGCATTCTGCAAGAGTTGTGCCATTTCGGGCTTGGGGTGCAGAGTTTCGCGGTGTAGGATCTGTCGTGGCCACTGTTGGGCGCGATAGAACTTCCAAGGGCGGAACAATGGGTGTCTCCGCAGCGATCAAGGTTTTGATGATGGTGTCCTGCAAGCCCGCCTAATCCTAAGCCCTCTATATCCCTATCTCAACCCTCAGCCGTGAAACCCTAACATCCGAAAACCCTAAAACCCCTGAAGCCTTACTGTAAAACTTCTACCAGCCCTCGAAAAGAAGCCTCGGTTGGAGTAGTGTAGAGGAGGCGAGCGATGGCTGCCGCAGATATGAGAGAGGCCTCTCCTCGGGGTGATATGATGCCCAACCTTCTGGGTTCTCTGACACGACAAATTCGTACGGCCTCCCTCTCCATGACCCTAAGACGCAAGCTCTCATTTCAAATTGTCTGTGGTCTTGACCTTCAACCCTAAACCCTAACCCTAAACCCTGAATCCCCTGAACCTTGAACCCCAAATCCTGAACGCCCTGAATGTGTTGGACTCCCAGCCCCCAAGACGACTTGACGTGTGGAATGACCAGCCTTGATCTGAGCCATCATGGCGTCATAGTCGATGCCCTGCGCAAGCCGCGGTTTAGGGTTTAGGGTTTAGGGTTAGGATTCAGGGTTTAGTTTAACAAGCCCTACCCTAAACTCCTATAAGCAACTCAAACCTTTTTTCGGGGCGCGGCGCAACCCTCGCAAACCTCTCATCTGAAACGCGAAGCCCGGCGTTCAGACTGTGCTTGTATCGGCTCCAGCCCCACAACCCTCTACAGAAGCCCTACAACTTGGGATGTTCCCCCTTATACCAACAGTCTTTAATAGGGAGTATAGTAGGTGGTACCATAATCCCTGTTAAGGACTGTTCGTATAAGGGGGCACAGGCCAACCTACAACCCTACAACCCTCAACCCCCATAACCCTGGCTTCAAGTTTTGCTTCCACCGTTGCCGAGGAGCGCATGGCCCCTACAAACCCTATAAGCCCTCTAAACCCCATAATAAGCCCTGTAAGCCCTATAAACCCCAAAAGCAGGACAAGCGCCCCACCCCAACTACTTCGCGTTTTTCGGCCTTCCCAGAACCCAGAGCCCTACGCAGGCCCTCAAGAAATCCCCCCCCCCCCCCCCCCCGCCCGCCAAAACACAAACTCTTCAATCCCCCCAAAAAACCCTAAGCCCTAAGAAAAGGGCCACGGTAGCGCTTTAGGGCTTTTGCAATGCATTTGTCAACCAAAGGTGCCCAGGCCCCTAAACCCTAAACCCTAAACCCTAAACCCTAAACCCTAAACCCTAAACCCTAAACCCTAAACCCTAAACCCTAAACCCTAAACCCTAAACCCTAAACCCTAAACCCTAAACCCTATCCCCCTACGCAGCGCTTCAAGGGATTCTATCGGCACCGAAGGAAGCAGGAAGGATCTGAAGGGAAACAGCTGAATCTCAACAAGGACTCCGACATAGTATAGGGTGTCCATAAACACAAGGTCTTCTGAACCCTAAACCCTAAACCCTACACCCGGAACCCTAAACCCTAAAAGCTTCATTCAGGGGCATTGGGCCACTGAACACCCGAATGCCCTGCATCGTCCTCCACATCAAAGTGCTCTTTCAAGTCCTGACATGAGGAGCTACGACAAGTTGGTCTCGGAGGCAGATAGGCATAGGCAAGGGGCTTAGGGTTTGGGGTTTGGGGTTCGCCATGGGATGTTGCCCCTTATACTAACAGTCCTTCATAGGGATTGTAGTACCCCCTATAACACTCCCTACTGAGGACTGTTAGAATATGGGGGAACATCCCAAGGTCAGCCCCTCAGGCCCCAGACCCCTGTCCTTCAAGGACCACTTGGATGCCGATCTTCCGTCGGCGGAGGGCTTCTCTGAACCTGCTGCACGCTCAGCTTTCTTCCTCCCAGCTCTAACGTGGGAAGACGAAGCCAAGGCTTTTTCGCAACCCCCCCCCCCCCCCTCCCCCCCAAAAAAAGATAATCATAATAACCCCCGCAACAAATCCTCCCCAGCATGTACTCGCAACGGTCACGAGCAGTCCACCCGAAAATGCAAGGCGGACGAGCCTGTGGCTGGCTCAGCCTCGCGCCAGGGGGTTGGTCACGGCTGGGGAGGGTTTAGGGAGGGCTTTAGGGTTTAGGGTTCAGGATTCAGGATTTGGGGCCACGCTTTACGGTTCAGGACTACCAGTTATGATCCCCTGAGCCCGTAAACCCCTCAGCCTTAAGCACATAAGCCCACAGGCCCTGAACCCGAAAAACACCACAAGCTATCATAAACCCTGCAAGCCCTAAACCCTGTACACCTTTTGAACCTGCAGTCCACCGAGTTACGGTCTGTACCCCGAGAGTCCACTCAATACCGATTAACTTCATGCAACGTACGTACACGACGTTGGGTTTACGGTTCCGGGCTTAACGTACGCTACTCGACCCAAGAGTAAGCTAGGAAGAAAAGGGTGCCCTGTTCGGCTTAAAGGGGCTTGTAAGGGAAGCTGAACCCTTTAAAAAGGGGAGTAAGGGCCTACTCTGGGTCCTAGATTACGTAGGGTTTAGGTTTTAGGCTTTGTAAGCCTTTTTGGCGGACGGCCTAATAGTCTCACCGCAAGAAGGGAATCTGGCTAGTACTACGAAACGTCCTGGAGAAGGACCGGGCCATAACGCTAAACCCTAGATCCTAAACCCTCGCCACAAACCCTAACCCTTTAACAAACCCTAAACCCTGTAAACCACAAAACCTCTTCCCCAGACCCTGAATCCACATAACTCACAAACCTTATGCTCTTTGAAACCTACTCCCCAAACCTTTAAAACACACACAACATCACAAACCTTAAGCCCTCGAAGCCACAAAACCCACTCCCCAAACCCTTTAAACCGAAGCCCTAACTTAGGGCCAAGAGTAAGCAAGGGTAAAAAGGGTGCGCTTTTTTGTTTAAACGGGCTTCATAAGGGAACCCAAGCCCACCAAGAAGGGAATGAGGGCCTACTGGTTCCCCCCTAAACCCTAAACCCTAAACCCTAAACCCTACAACTGCGGGTGCGTTTCGGGCTCGGTGCATCATCAAGTGCCTCGGGAGTCTCGTCGACCGCCTCATCAGTCTCAGCTTCGCTGTCATTGAGCATGTCCGTCCTGAGATTTCGGTTTAGGGTTTAAGGTTTAAGGTTTAGGGTTTAGGGTTTAGGGTTAAGGGTTAAGGGTTAAGGGTTAAGGGTTAAGGGTTCAGGGTTCAGGGTTCAGGGTTCAGGGTTTAGGGTTCAGGGTTTAGGGTTTAGGGTTTAGGGTTTAGGGTTTAGGGTTTAGGGTTTAGGGTTTAGGGTTTAGGGTTTAGGGTTTAGGGTTTAGGGTTTAGGGTTTAGGGTTTAGGGTTTAGGGTGTGTCTTTCGACATTGGGGGTTGTGTCTGGGAACACTTGTCTAGGGCAAGGGTCCTCTTTCAGGTATTCCCCGAAGTAGGCGCTAAGCCCTAGAGGCACTGAACACCCCGCACCATGCCGCACACCTCGAATGGGGCCCCACACCCCTCAATCCCGAAAGTAGGAGCCCCCAAATAGTATGGGTTTAGGGTTTAGGGTTTAGGGTTTAGGGTTTAGGGTTTAGGGTTTAGGGTTTAGGGTTTAGGGTTTAGGGAGTACCCAATACCACTATGGGGTCATTCTTCGGGACCCTTAAGGGGATCCACTTTTTGGATCCTCCCAGGGGTCTGGGGTTCCTGTATCCTCAGTCAGACTTCAGGCTAAGAGTTGTAAGGGTTTCAGGCTATTGGGAACATGGCCAACCTAAACCCTAAACCCTAAACCCCAAACCCTAAACCCTAAACCCTAAACCTAAACCCTAAAATCCCTAAAAACCCCTAAGCCCCATAAACACCCCCGAAAACCCCCTAAAAACCCTAAAAACCCCTAAACCCCTAAACCCTAAACCCCTAAACCCTAAACCCCTAAACCCTCAACCCCTAAACCCTCAACCCCTAAACCCCTCAACCCCTCAATCCTCCTTTAGGGGTGGTCCCTTCGTGGCACCCAAGTCCATACTCCCCTTAGGCCTTAACAAAAATAATGTTTTTAATGCCCCCTTGGGCTTTATATAAACAAAAACAAAAAATAATTCCCAAGGGGGATATAGAAGTGTCAGGTCGGCGTCATCAGTGCCATCGAAGGTGGCAGCGTCATCCTCGCCATCCGGCTCCTGGTTTAGGGTTTATCGGGTTTATCGGGTTTATAGGGTTTATAGGGTTTAGGGTTAAGGGCTTAGGGTTTAGGGTTTATCCATCTCTGGGGGTTTATGGGACGTTGGGTATGCCAAGCTCATTAGCCCATGACCAGACATTCACTGTTTTATGTATGGCTTATTCAGGGTTACGGTTCATGGGTACTAAACCCTAAACCCTAAACCCTGAAGGTTCTAAAGGAAGGTGTGGTAATTGGGGGTTAGGGTTCATCCTCAAAAGTAATGCTTTGTAAGCATGATAACGATAGTTGGAAACCCCATGAACCTCTAAGCAGGTAGTGACATGGTCAATGAATATGGGCCGTTCAACGGGATCCCTTTATATGCCCCTTGTATACCCTTTATATGCCCCTTATATACCCTCTAGAACCTAAGGGCTCAAACAACAGAAACCTTTAAAGGAGGTAAGGGACCACGTTAAGGGACCATGCAACTACCCTTAGATTGAAGTAGGTGTACCTTGACTAGGGTTTAGGCTGTAGAGTTTAGGGTAGGCTCTGAACCCCACGCTTGAAACTACAAACAGCCCGCTCAGACGAGCTAGCTGCCCCCTCACTTACTGGTTCTTAGTAGGGAATTCGGAAAATCTGGTACCTTCTAGAAATCCCTACTTCAAAAAGGGTGCATGTACGTACCCCATTCCGACGGTGAAGATATGAACCATTCCCCGGCTTTTGCACTGTCCGGCGGTGGCCGCGCTTTCCATGCCACCGGTCGAAGGCACATGGGACGACCGCACTACGGGCAAGCACCGCCATAAAAAGAGGTTGAGAATGCCCATCACGAATGACAGCAGTAAGGGTGAGAGTTCGTCCCCCAAAAGTGCGGGAAGAATGCGCTCACTCAGCACCATGAAGGAACCGAAAACGGGCACCCAGCATAAGACCAGACACATGGAGAGCACCAGAAGCGCCAAGAAGCCCTCACAAAGGCGGCGTGTCATATAAGTCAGCCGGAGCATGATCAAAGATGAGCTTGGCAGAAGAAACAGCCAGTAGGCCCCAGCTTTGCACAGAAATTTGGGTGCGTCGTAGGGCCACTCTGCACACCAGTCCATGAAAAACCAAGCAATTGGGCAGGTCGCCAGCACAATGCGCCAATACGAGAAGACGCAATTCGACAGCTGGTGAACCAGTACCTTGTGAGGGCAGTCGTACCCGAAGATCTTGTAGGTAAACAGCCGTACAGCCGCGATAGATTGCATCCCCCCCCAAAAAAAAATAGTAGGCCTCGGAAAATGGGGGCCCTAATTGGCCCTAATTCAACCCTAAACCCTAATTACCCCAACACAAGGAAAGAACCCTTGTACCAGGATCTCAGAAGCCCTGGCCACACAGAGTTGAAGCCCCAAAAAAGCCAGCCCAGAAGCAAAGGATTTCAACAGGGAGCCCTAAACCCTAAACCCTAAACCCTAAACCCTAAACCCTAAACCCTAAACCCTAAACCCTAAACCCCCAAGGGTAGCCTTTCAGGCCCGAAGCCCCACATGGCAGCCCAAAGCCCCCAGGACTCGTGAGAATTTTCTTCCCTGTCGGGAAGGTTTAAGGTTTAAGGGTTTTGGGGTTTAGGGTTTAGGGTTTAAGAGTTTTAGGGTTTTGGGGTTTAGGCTTTAGGAGGGTTTCGAAAAACCCTCTTCTGTTGGTGAGATTAGGTTTTTCAACACCCTCTTCTGCCAGGAAGGTTTAAGGTCTCAGGGTGTTAGGGCTTTGATTGTAACAGGGTTAAGAGTTTTAGGGCTTTATTGTGTTAGGGTTTGGGTTTCAGGGTTTTAGGGCGCTTTTCAGCGGAATTGGGGTGGGGGGAATCAGGCCGGGGTCAGGGAACTTCATGGCAAAAAGTCTTCAGGTGGGGTTGCATTCTTAAGGGGTCCCCTAACTGGCGAAACCCTTTCAATGCCAGAGGTACCGTCAGGAGCGTGGTGCGCACGGTGGACTCGAAGTTCTCGGTCGACCCGAACCATGTGGTGATACAGCGAAGAATGATGTTTCGATCGCACAGAAGTGGCAAACCCCGGGGATCTGTATGCCCTTTCTCGCAGCAGGTGCTAGAAGAAGCCTCGATGGCGAAGGTGCGGACTTGGGCTTGCATGGCGTCGATGCTGCGAGAGTGCATGAGAATTACGTATGCCAGCAGTGTCATGCTTGGGAATGCAAGACAGCCGATGAGCGCCAAACCTTGGTAGCCCAGAAACAATATTACAATAAGGGCACCCTTGTTTTTGGGATAGTTACCTTACAAGGGAACCTTGAACCAAAAAAAGGGAAAAGGGTACCACTGGGCTACCAAGAAACCCCATGGCACCGGTGGCACGAGCGACGACTTGAAAACCATCACCGTGACGCTGGCGCCCAAATTGCCGATCAGGAGGGCCGGGCAGACAAAAACAGGGCAAATTTCCAGACTGTGCTGCCGCTCGTTCTCAACGGGCTGGCGGCTCTTCAGGAAAGCAGCCATCTCGAACATACACCACCTTCAGTCTGGTCGTGGAATCTTGACTTTCAAAAAGGGTTTCTTTGACCTGTAGGTTTTTACATCAACAAACGAAAGCGGTCGAACAACTTGTGTAAACAGACCCAGCTACAGTCTCGACACGTACGTCTGATCCCAAAGCACCACCAGAGACCTAGTTCATGGTTGGGATAACATCAAAACTTTTTAATCTATATTCCTTATTGAGTTTAAGTACCCTTAAACATGTAAAATCGTACCCAACTATGACAAAGAGACTTCGAGCGCTTCAGAATCGCTCCCATGTTAAGGAGGCCCTCTGCTTTGAGCGCCTCATCGGCCTGGTGTATGCAAGCAGCATCCAGGAAAACCACCTTCCTCTGCGGCCACAGCAGCAACGTCAAGTAGTAGCCCAGGGTCCCGCAAGGCACGCACAAGTTCCCAAAGGAAAGTAAGCCAGATGCACGCAGGCAAAAGGGAAGAATGGCGCAAAGTGTGCCCACTACGAATGCCGCCAAGCCATTGTTCAGGAAGAGAATGCTTGCGTATTTGCTCCACATCCCTGCCTGCCAGCTGTGGGACCAAAACTCATCAAGCTCATGTGTTGCCTCGCTGAACGCATAGAGATGATTGAGACGTCCTCGCATATAGTGGCGTGGGGCACTTTGAACGACTCGGAACACCCTGATCCCGCGCAGGAGTTCAGGACGTGTGGCCTGCATCTGGGACATCAGCTGGATGCACGCCTCCATGAGTGGATCTTGATCTTCCTCACCCCGCGCACTCCCGATCACGCTGCATTCGACTGAAGCTGCTTCGGCTCCCGATGCCCTGTCATGTGACACGACTGGAAACTCGCAAGGCACATCCATGCAGGCTTCTAGAGCATCGGCCGACATGGCCCGAAACAGCTCATGCTCCTTCATGCCCAGGCGGTACTCGGCGGCTGAAGCCGGGCCAGCTTGGACTCTTACACTCTACAACGCCCGAACCCAGAAGCCCTAACATTCTGCTGGGCTTAGCGTCAGAGTCTCGAAACCCTATGCGAATACCCCAAACCGCCCAAGCCCACTGAGCCGGTTGTAACATAAGGTGTCAGGGAATCCCATCGCGCACTTCATCTCAGATATGAGCTGGGTCAGGAGCCGGCGCCGGTACTTGGCACACATCGGCAACATGGGGGGGGGGGGGGGGCAGGGTGCCATGTATACATATGTATATGTACAGAAACTTATACATATAATAAAAATACGAAAAATATAAGAATACTTATTATTGTAGTAACTATATACGATGTATATATTTATGTATATATTCTGTATACATTATGTATATAGTATGTATATACATACATACATACATGCATACATATTATGACAAGCCGCCTCCTCCAGGTCAACTGTTGGCGAGTGTTGGCCCTGGCGAAGCTCGCTGCCGAATGCAGAGGCCACCTGGGTTTAGGGTTTAGGGTTTACGCCTCACTTCATGTTTGGCTCTGTGCTTCAGGGCTTGTCGAGTCTTTGGTTTGGGAGTTGAGTTTGGGGCGGGATTCCTGATCAAGAGGACCCCAATGGTGGGCCCAACCCCACACTACCAAGTGGTGGGGGTACGTACCCTAAACCCTAAACCCTAAACCCTAAACCCCTAAACCGGGGGCACCTGGGCTTCCTAGGCTTGTCGCTCCGTCTTCCCGAAGCGAGGGCAAGCACGCCGCAGGACTACGGGCGAAACCCTAAACCCTAAACCCTAAACCCCAAACCCTAAACCCTAAACCCCAAACCCCAAACCCTAAACCCTAAGCCCTAAGCCCTAAACCCGAAGCCCCCAACCCTACACTCGAGGGATTGGGGGGGGCAAGCTGAAGTCCCAGCTTCGATCTTCTGCTGAGGGATTAGGGCTTCAGCAGCCCGAACCCTACGGGGCCTTTGAGACCCTAAACCCTTCTTGGTTGCTGAGTTCACAAGCCCCCCAAGAAAGTGTACACCTTTAGTTTTGTAGAGATCATAGTATCCCAAAAAGTGTGAAGTGTACTCACTCAGCAACTAAGCCTCAAGCTTAAGACCAGAGTCTGTTTTTCGCCCCAAAAGCACTACTGCACCGCGACTGTCACAACCATGGGACTCATCCCCTTCGGAAGTGCCTTCGGCTTACTATGCGAGTTCTTGAACGGATGTTTAAATAGCTTACATGTAAGGGTCGAGAGAGAATTGACTTCTCAGAGTTTATGTCAGAACGGTTTCCAGGGTCATACAATCCTCAGATGCGCACTGGAGGGCGAGGAGCCACTACTTCAGCCCATGCGGCTATCGTCTGCGACTGTTTTAGGGGAACTCTGCCCGGTTTAGATGAACAAACCCTAAATTTTTAAACCCTAAACCCCTACTCCTGAAAGGTCCTTGAAACTATTTCCGCATGAGGCCTCAATTCAGGGTTCCGGGAAGTTGAGCTGTCGGGGTTGAGTGTTGAGCGGTTCCGGTGGTGAGTAGTAATCACCGAATTCTGCACAAGAGAGGGTTTATTTAGGGTTTATGATGTTTGCAGGCATCATGCAGGCAAGGAGCATGGCTGTCACGGTTCTGGACGTATGCTGTGGACTGCTTGTTGACCTTCACTGACAAGCATCTTCAGTCTGGAGCTTGCGCGGAGTGAAGATCCGCCCGGGAGGACAAGGAACGCACGCGCTCGTCAAACCCAGCCCTAAACCCTAAACCCTAAACCCCACAAACCCTAAACCCCACAAACCCCAAACCCTAAACCATGTACTAAGCTCGTGACAGCATAGTTGGTGAGGTGCATTGTGCGACGTCGGAGCCTGGGGGGGAGGGTTTAGGGTTTAGGTTGAAGGGTTACTGGTTCATGGTTGGGATAGCAATATAAAATTGAAAAACTTTATTCTTATTGAGTTTAAGTACCCAAAAAAACGTTGCCCCACTATGACAAAGGTTGAGGGATTAGGGTCTAAAAACCTAAACCCCAAAATAAGGGAAGCACGACAAGTTAGCCGGAGGCCCTCCCCCTTGTTAGTTTACAGCTTCGGCGGCGACATCGGTTCGAAGCGCAAGCCAACTTCAGAACCTCACCCCCCTAGAGCCCCTCTCCCGCCTGACACCCCTAAACCCCCTAAACCTCCTAAGCCCTTAAGCCCCCTAAGCCCCCTAAACTCCCCTACTCCCCCCTAAAACTCCCCTAACAAACCCGGTCTCAGGCTTTGGCGTCTTGGAGCTCAGCGTGTACCGCTCGGTGGCGAGCCGCACCAAGCCCTCTTGGAAGAGGTAGACTTTGAGCGGGTCAAACCTGGGGTTTGGGTTTAGTGTTTGTTGTTTAGGGTTTAGGGTTTAGGGTTTAGGGGGTCAAACCTGGGCGGACAGCTACCACCCCCAAGCCCTACAGACCTGAACACCATATCCCTAAACCCTAAAAATTCAAAAATGTTGATGCTGACAGAACATTGGTGACAGCCACTTCGCCAACACCCAGGTGCTATCCAAGCAAGGTTGATCCGCAGGCCCCTTGTTGGGAGGTTCAGGGCGCTTATGACCCCAACTATAACTGTACTTTTAAGGTCCTAAGTCCCCGAAGTCCCCTAAATAGGTTCTAAACCCTAAAATTTTTAAAACCTAAGCATATTATTGGGGTTTCAAGTACCCATGAACCCCAAGTAGGTCTGAGGGTGTTTTCCTTGTTGGAGGCGCATGGCGTTGAACTGGACTCGCCCTTTTCAGCTTCAGGGTTTAGGGATTAGGGGTTTAGGGTTTAGCGTTTGGGGTTTCGGACGCCATGCCCGTAGCCCCATGCAACACACCCAAACTTCAGCTGTCACTGAGCGGCGAGGTGACCACGACGTAGAGTCGAAGGTCGAACTTGTAGCCATTCAGCAGGAGAGGCCGCTCCTGGGTTTCAAGTGTAGGTCTAGGATGGTTTGGGGTGTAGGGTTTAGGCCTTTAAACGTTCAGGACTCCGAGGGTTAAGGCTTCCCCTGCCCCCCTCCGCAGAGAAGCATGAAAGCCAAAATGCTTGCTAGATAAAAACGACATCTCACACCCCAGCCCCTTCAAACTTATTAATTGGGATGTTCACCCTTTTTTCCTAACAGTCCTTAATGAGATTATAGTACCCCCTATTATAATCCCTGTTAAGGACTGTTAGTATAAGGGGGAACATCCCAACTCTTCAACTCCAAAAACGAACTTCCGGGGCCCATGCGACATACCGCTGAATCACGCCGTTCTTGTTTTCAAGACGGGCTTGGACCTGGCTAACGTGCTTAGGAGCATGCCCCGCAACCCTCAGCCCAAGAGGCTTAAGGTTTAAGGGCTTAGGGTTTAGGGGTTTGGGGTTTGGGGTTTAGGGTTTAGGGTTTAGGGGTTTAGGGGTTTAGGTGTTCAGTTAACCCCAAAACTCAGGCGGTTCAGGGGGACTAGGGATCCAGGTTTAGTGGCTCAGGGCTTTGAAACTTTCAACCCGTTCCGGGGCTACATAGGGCTCCAGGGCTCTAGAAGTCCCGAGGGTTTAGGTGCCCAAGCAACTTTTCGGACAGAAAGGGCAATGCGTTTAGAAATCGCAAGAGATGCATCACAAAGAGAACCTGACCCTTGTCCGGGTTTAAGAACGATGGGAGTCCTAGGGTTACGACAACTCGCAAGCCGGCTTTGCTAGTGAGTTGGCCTGGCATGTAGCCCTCTACAGCGCCCTCGTAATTCTAGGCCCAGAAGTACCTTAGGAACAGAAAGGGTGCCCTTTCTTTGGTCTGAAGGGGCTGAAAAGGGAAGCAAAAACCACTGTAAAAAAGGGAGTACAGGGCCTGCTCTGGGTCCTAGTATTCTGAGGCACGTGTCTGGCGGCTTGGAGTTATTTTGGGGCTCAGGGCTTCCTTGCGTGACTCTTGCGGGCCTTGGCGGAGAGGCTTCTTGGGAGCAACTTGATCCCGCGACCTGGGTGGCCCTACTTCTTTCAGGAGGGCGTGGCTTAGAGTCTGGGGGATTGCATCGCCGAGTCGATGAATATAACCCTTTAATTAATGATATATTGACACACTGATATAAAGTAGTCATGTAGAAATGCAAGAACAATATAAGACTATAAGAATTGTGACAAGAAAGTAATATAAAAAAGAACAATTCCATACTGCAATCATAGTAATAATAAAACAATAATAATAACAACGACAATGATAATAATAATGATAATGGAGGGTTTCTTTTCGTAAAACATCCTTTGGTAGCAGCTCAGTACGAGGCCATGGTGCGAGAAAGCAAATGCATCCGACCAAGACAATAAGCCTCAAAACCCGAGTTCCTGAGTGTAAATTTCTCTAACCCTCGGCTTGCAAACCTGGGATGAATCTTGCACCACCCTCCGAAGCCCTCAAAACGCACGAGCCTTACAAGCCCTCGTCCTTGCAAGTTCTTGCATTGTAAGCCCTAAACCCCAAACCCTAAACCCTGAACAACCCTCAACTTCATCACCTGCCCTGGGCTCAATGCCACAGCTGGAGTTGCATGGCTTCCAAATCCTCGGGGAACAAAAAGGAGAGAACACTCCGAGGGCAAAGGCATGTAGGGGTTCGGGTTTAGGGTTTAGGGTTTAGGGTTTAGGGTTTAGGGTTTAGGGTTTAGGGTTTAGGGTTTAGGGTTTAGGGTTTAGGGCTTAGGGTTTAAGGTATTTGATCCTTGCCGTTCACGTGTGGATTCCCGTAGCTTACTAACACGAAATTCTCATAGTTGTAATGAACAGCACCAGAACGCTGTCCAAGTGTTCTTGTTTCTTTATAAGGATTCATGAAACAGTAGTAACAACTCATGGTTCCTGAATGTTTTTTCGAGATGCTATAAAGCGAACCAACTCTCGTAAGAGTAACAAGCAGATTCAAGCCGGGAGCCGTGGCGCAAAAGTTGGCAGCCCTACGCCCTAACCACTAAACCCTAAA